ACCTGTGAGGAAAATGTCCAGCATTCACTGCCATATAAGTTGATTGAAATTACAGAGCAGTTCAGGACTCTTTTGTTTGTTTCTGTTACCTCAAGTCTCCTCTTCACCTGTGAGGAAAATGTCCAACATTCACTGCCATATAAGTTGATTGAAATTACAGAGCAGTTCAGGACTGTTTTGTTTGTTTCTGTTACCTCAAGTCTCTTCTTCACCTGTGAGGAAAATGTCCAGCATTCACTGCCATATAAGTTGATTGATATTACATAGCAATTCAAAACTTTTCTCTGTTTCTGTCGCTTTAAGTCTCTTCTTCATCTTTGGGGAAATCCTCCCACATCTACTGCCAAATAGAAGGATTGATATTTTATCTCATTCTTTCTAATTGTAAATTATTCGTCCTTTTTTCTCGACATTTTCCTTAAATCTTCCGCATTGTTTACATGCTCTGTCTATGGTACCTCTGCGCTTCTCTTGCCAGTTTTCTATTCATTTGTGAGGAAATTGTTCAATTTTTGTTTCTGTTTCCGCCACAGTCGCCTCTCTATTTGCTGTGCGATTGTCTAGCATTTACTGCCATTGATATTGCGTAGCAATTCAGCCCTCTTGGACTTGTTTCTGTTAGCTCAAGACTACTCTTCATCCGTGAGGAAATTGTCAAACATTCACTGCTATCAACGGATTTAATATACTTGAAGCCGTCAGAGTGTGAGTGATCTGATTCTGATCGGAGGTGTAAAGCTCAAAGCATTTCAACTTTGTTGCTTTGACGATTGAAACGATTCAGTCCCTTTCATTTATGCAGTAGGCTGTCCGCGAACATCAAATATATTTTTCCTGATGGTGGATATTGATGTGAAGAAACGAAGCGACTAACCGATTTCAGATTCCTGTCCAGTCTATTATCCTCACTTTCTGTTGTAGAGTAGTTTTCACAGTGGAGGCTTGTATTTCACTAAATTAGGTTCGACGTACAAAACGTTAGGAACTTGAAATAATAGTTAATGACGCAGCAATCTAGTTGTGGTGGTTGATACTTCAATGTCCGACATCGACTGATTCACTCAACTCACTGAGCCCCCAGGCGACTACTACTACTACTACTTATTATATCTGGGAGAGTCTATTAACAATAGAATAGGTATGTTCCGGTATAACACTTTCGCAGCAATAATAATGATAATAATAATAATGATGTTGCTGATAATGATAATAATGATGATAATAATGATGTTGATAATAATAATAATAATAATAATAATAATGCCCTTGGAAATGACGCGTCCGGTTTTTCTCACCAACCCCCAGCACTGTGCGAAACAATAGGGTATCATAGTGGACAGTCATACATATATTTTGAATGCAATTTTGTTTAGCGACATACCAACACCTCTATGGGTCATGCGAATATCTAAATATTTTGAAAACAATATATTTTGAATGCAATTTTGTTTAGCGGCATACCAACACCTCTATGGTTAACATAATTACTGCCGGATATGGTTTATTGTTGATTTTGTTTAGCGGCATGTCAACACCTCTATGGGTTCATTTAATGTTAAAAAGAAATATAAATGCTTTGAAAACAACATATTTTGAATGCAATTGCATGCTTTCAACTATTTAATTTCGTAATCTAAATAAGAGAATACTACAGAAGTTGCATGTAAGCAACGCGAAAATATTTAAGGAAATTTAAGAAAAAAAGGACCTGGGAACATTGGGACCGAGGGTTCTTTCCTGTTGATTTTGTTTAGCGGCATATCAACACCTCTATGGGTTATGTATCAGATAATAAAATACATAGTGGACAGTCATACATATTGTAACACGTATGGGTTATTTAATTGCTGTCGGATGTAGTTTATTGTTGATTTTGTTTAGGGGTATGTCAATAAATCTATGGTTTATTTAATGCCGAAATCTAAATATTTCGAACACAATATAATTTGAATGTCTGGTAGAAAACAGAAAATGCTAATATATTTCCGAAGAAGTCATGGCAAAAGTTAAAAAAAAAAACATGTGAATATCCATGATTATTTACGTTTTAAAGAGACAGAGCATTAAAAATTGTGGGAGGATTTGTCCCTCTTCTGTCATCCCGTGGGCTTAGAGCAGATAGTAAAATCTGCTAGAGTCTCATCCCAGTCGATTTGTAATTATGTTGACTCATCTGGGTAGCGTACGGCACGGTTTGGAAGTGGCTGAATACATGACACAAGTCATTGTGACCGAGGGTATGAATGTGCTGACCTTGTTCAAAGGCTTCATCACACCAGATTATGCCCTCACTTTCAGAAAGCAAAAGAAATGTCTTCTAATCATAGTTTCTGGATAAAAGATATATATATATATATATATATATATATATATATATATATATATATATATATATATAAAAATGTAGTTTACACTTTCTTAGTGCTTTTAGGAAATTGTAGCCTATTATACAAATTAATGCCCTGAAAGAGTTCTTAAATTTTGATTTTTGTTTAGCAGTATATCAACACCTCTATGGGTCATTTAATGCCGAAATGTAAATATTTTGAATGCAATTATATGCTGTCAACTCCAGATAAAATGTACTGTACGTCATTTTTCTGCATAAACTGTAGATTGAATCTATTGTCTGAGCAGTTACTGGTTGGTTGATTTTGTTTAGCGGCATATCAACATCTCTATGGGTTATTTAATGCCGAAATGTAACTATTGTGAATACATTTTTCTTTTTGAAGATGATAATGGTGTTTTGAGCCCAGTTCGGTTGCTCACTAATTGTCAATAGCTGGGACTCTAACAGGTGCTACCACTCTGGGTCAAGATGGACTTGGGAACAACAGCAATTCAGGGGTGGTTCTACGCTCCTCAAGACTTCTTCATCGGAGGCCTGGCTGCAGGATGTAGTTTAACGTCATACCCAGGACTCTGAGCAGCTGTTACATAAGAGGGATTAGATAGTCATTCTAACACCTGGCACACCCGGATACTAGTGGAGTCATACATATCGTAAAATATTGCCGATTAAATAAATATTGTGTATGATTTAAAAAAACCAAAAAACATCTGTATTTACATTTTTAACTCTTTAATTTTATTTTTTCTAGAAAAGTTCTTAACGAAATTGGTTTACTAGTTTTTCTTGAGTTCTGCGAATTCTACTATCCGCGGTCTTCGAACTTACTTACAGCGTATAATGAGGTCCTACTGTACTTAATTGTACTTTGATTTTCTTAATTCTACCACCATTTCCTCTGTCCTTTCTTTTATTTTGTGTAATTTCTTAATGATATCTTGGGGCACGGTGGAGTAATGGATAGCGGCTCGGATAGAGGAATCGGAGAGCCGAGTTCGAATTCCAGCCGAATCCATTATATTCACTTACATGCTAATACAGTTGGGAATGAATCCTCTTCTTCTCCACCACCCCCGAGCTATGGGTAAATAGTAGGACAGACCTATAGCCTTGGATGACAACTGGTCTACCGCAGAAAGAAATAACAACTCACTGCAGGAAAAAAAGAAAAATACATGACCGCCTAAGCGTGTAACACGCATGACACATAACTGATATTCACTTAAGCGCACATACATTTGGGAAAGGTATGAATCCTCTTCCCCTTCCAGCTATGGTTAAATAGCAGGACAGACCGGATTCTATAGCCTTGGATGGCAACTGGTCTACCGCTGAAAGAAATGGCAACCTACTGCATGAAAAAAGAAAGATACATGATCGCCTAAGCGTGTATCACGCATGGCACATAACTGACTGATATCTTAATGTGCGAGACCTGACCGCAGAGTAGTGGATATTAACATAACTCAAGTGAGTTCGATTCTCACTGGATGCTCAACAGATGCCCACCATGATATAATAATACAAAGCTTAGAAATTTATTTATTGCTGCCTCTCCGTGGAGTAATGTTTAATAAACTAGTCTTGCGCTTCATTATCGCTTTAGTGAATTCGATCCTTACAGGGTGACCCGCACACTTGCTACTTAGTAAATATCAGAACGTTTCATTGTGTTTAGGAAGCTAAAATACGACGACTCCATTCCCTTCAAAGAGCTAAGGCCAACAGCAAAATAAACCGCCTTCTTGATTGATACTCGCAATTTTATGTGTAAATCCGATGCTTGAAAACCCAATTCTTGTCTTCGGGTTCAATCATGACAATCGCGACTTTGGGGCTCAGTCACGACAATCGCGACTTTCGGCTTAAAGTTAAACCTGAATTTACGGCTCGTGTATGACAAACGCTATTTTGGGGCTCAAGTACGGCAATCCCAACCAATGTTTGACATGGGGGCCAAGTTTAATAATAATAATGAGGCACATGGGAATATCAACTATCCCTGTTGTAGTTGGAGCTCTCGGATTGGTTGGAAAAGATTCCACTAGACTAACTGAATGGATTCCTGGAAGCCCATGCCTTAAAGAAATACAAAAAACTGTTCTCACGATGACAGCCCACACTTTACGAAGGGCTTTATCTATGTATTTTTTTTAGACACTAGAAATCAAAGACAACAACAACAACAATAATCAGATTTCGACATTAGAAATATCGCAATACTCACTAACCATTTCTTGTAGAAGATTTCAACTGTAATGAATTTGTTTCTCACTGAGTGTACAAAACTTGATATTGTTAAAATTAAGTTTAGAAAATCGTTCGACTCTCTTTGGCCATGATCTTGTGCCACATTATGATAAGCATAATAAATATTTGAGCGCTTCGCTGTAAATTTAAAGTTAGCAGGCTACACTTGAAGACCATTGCCACTGTAACAAGTCAGATCCTCACTGGGTACACAGCATCTGTTAATTCCACACACCCCTTATTTGTATTTAATATTTTTAGATATTGAAACGAAATCAGTGTTTACTGTAAGTGTCGAGTTCGTGTGTCTTCAGTTCGATAATAGCGTACTCGTAGAACAGTATATCATTCAGAAGCATTTTTTTTTTCATAATTTTTTTTAATATTTTAATTTTAGGATGTACCAAGACTGACCGCGAAATCTTTAATTCAAACCTGATCAGTGAATTTGCAGCGGAATACTACAGAGAAACCCCGAAGCCGACTGAAGGTACCACTTTAGCGACAGGTTAGTATTGATTAAAAGTACCCATGTAATTTCTTTTTATATATTTACTTTATTTGGTGATATATAAGACACACATATATATACATACATACATACATATATTTACATTTGCATACGCTCTCCCCTGATATTGAGCACTTCCCTATATATAGCACACCATAAAACTATATATATATATATATATATATATATATATATATATATATGAATTTTTTCATGCAGCAAGGGCTGACTATCATTGTTGTTTCGTCCATGTGTTGTTTGATTTATTGAAATTGTCATCTTTGATAATGGCTTATGCAAGCCGAAAGCTTAGATTGGATTTAAACATGTATCAATATGGTGTTTTCCTTTCGTCTTTCAACGATAATGCGATTAAGCTTATCAGACAATATGAAAGGAACTTACTTAAAATAAACAGACAAAACTAGTCTATATTATTGAATGAAACATGCATTAATGAAGAATTGCTGCCTAAATATACACTATATATATATATATATATATATATATATATGTGTGTGTATGTGTTTTTGTTCTCAGCTATTAAAATTCTTCTTTCACGTGTCATTTCCTTTCAGGGTGTAGGTGAACATGGCTCTCCACAACGTTTGTTGTTCAGAGTAGCTTTTGATCCTTTATTGCCGCTCTTTGTTTTGTGATCTATTCACTCAAGAATTTTAAGTAGGTTTCTTGCCTCCTTCCTTGCTTCGCTTGCATTTGGTATGCTTTGGGAGTGTTAAATTCTCTAGGCCTTCTTTCCTCATTATATCTTTATTTATTTAAAAACATTAATCGTTACTTTTTGGGCCAATGTATTTCTTTGATATACTATGTCTTCTCAGAACCTGGATCATCATGGCTCTCCACAGCTTCCTTTATTTTGTCGTTCAAAGTAACTTCTGATCCCTTATCACCATTCTTTGACATTGTTTTGCCATCTATTCACTCAAATATTTTAAGTCAGTTACTCGCTGAGTCCCTTACTTCTCTTGCCTTCAGTATACCTTGTGAGTAATAAATTCTCCGAACCCCCTTTCCCCATGATTTTATTTATTTTAGAAACATTAATTGGTACTCTTAAGGACAAGATATTCATTTTAAGTACCATGTACTGGTTCACACTCTACCGGTTTTTTGAACTGGTGTAGAGGTTTATCCCTTGTTCAGGATTGGGCTTCCGATTCCTTCTAAAGTGATTTCATTTTCTTTACACTCCCAGTAGCCCCCTTGCGTCTTAGTGGCGTTATCGCCTTGTTTGGAGTGAATTAGTTTAAAAAATTATCTCAGAACACCAAGAGAATGGAAAATGTGGAGAGCCATGATCACCCACGTTCTAAGTAATATTTGACCCTTTGCCATACATCTTTGTTCTTGGTTTTCCATCCATTCACCCAAAAGTAGGGTACTTGTATTTTTTTATCCCTGCTTCTCTTATCTTCAGTATACCACATGGGCGTTAAATTCTCCAAGCCTTCTTTCCTCCTTAAGTCTCCTAGAAATCTTAGATCGTTCTGATTGTATCAGGCTTTTTTTTTTTTTTTTTTATAACTCCTGTTCACTGTCTACTTCTCATTTGTCGTCGTCTTCTACGTATTGTCTGTTCAGGGCGTTGGCTACCGGTTCTTCTCTGTAGCTCTTAATAAATTGTCTTTTTGTTATCTCTCTTAAACCTTGTTCCTCCATCCATTTAATCAAACTCGCTAGCTAGGTTGCTATTGTTTTCCTTTGTCGCACTTCCTTTCAATCTGCCGTGAGAGCATCACATTTTTCAAGCGCTCTTTTTTCGTTATGAGCGTCAGGATTTTCAACTGTCTCTTTCTGATGTTAAGTATAAGTTTCCTTTTTGTTTCCATTTTCTCTAAAACTTCGTCGTTGCTCCCATATTCTGTCCATGGTATCCTCAGCATCCTTCTGTAGAAATTTCAACTGTCTCTTCCTGATGTTAAGTATAAGTTTCCTTTTTGTTTCCATTTTCTCTAAAACTTCGTCGTTGCTCCCATATTCTGTCCATGGTATCCTCAGCATCCTTCTGTAGAAATTTCAACTGTCTCTTCCTGATGTTAAGTATAAGTTTCCTTTTTGTTTCCCTTTTTATCTAAAACTTCGTCTTTGCTCACATATTCGGTCCATGGTATCCTCAGCATCCTTCTACAGAAAAACATTGTTGCTTCAAGCTTCTTCTTTATCAATGAAGAGATTGTCCAGCATTCGCCGCCATATAGGAAGACTGATATTACATAAAAATTCACGACCGTTTTCTTTGTTTCTAACAAAGCAAGACATATGGGAAGAATTTTAAAAAAATACTAGTCAAATATTAAAAATTAATATTTCAATCACAACGTCCATCCATCCTTGGTATGACGATAAACTAAATCCAACAGCAAGGCCTCTGATCAGGAGGCTTTGAGAAGCGTGGAACCACCTCATGATTGCTGGTGTTCCCAGTTCCACCTTGACCAGGGGTGTTAGCACCTGTTAGGGTCCCCTCTATGAGCAAATAGTTAACCCCCAAACTTGGGTAAAAACACTATGAAATTGTAAAAATATGTTTTATTACCAGCAATATATTTTTTGAAAAAAATATTAGCAGCGACACGTTTGAAAAAATTGGAAAAAATATTACCAGCAATAAAAATGCTGTCCGCCCTAAATAACCCATTGAGGTTGATATACCGTAAAACAAAACAGACCCGACCAAAATAAACCACAACGTCCTGACATGCTACCACTGCAGACATACAAAACTTCGCCATTGCTCACATGTTCGGTTAATTGTATTCTAAGTATCCTTCTGTAGAACCGCGTTTGTGTTTGTATCTTATTCTCTGGATTAGGTCACCAGAGTGCTTAATGTGTGTTAGGTTGATGGGGCCTAAGAACGGAATTAGGGTTTTGCAATTGCTTTAGCTAGTTTGTGAGGAGTATTGTTGATGCCGGTTACAAGCCGTTTAGTGTGTGTGTGGTAGAACGGTATTCTATTAGTCTAGTCTAGAATTTGCTTTCATTTTTAAACAGTTTCTTGGCGTTTTTGTTGACTTTTTATGTCGGTATTTACTAATTTCTTCATGTTGGTTTTATTTTCTAAGTGATATCATCGTTTGAAAGGTATTCTCATTTTTCAATCTAGTTGTCGGTATCCATAATGGCTATTCCGCCTCCTTTAAAGTATGGCTTTATGATTATATTTTTTTATATCCTTAGGCTCCATAAACCCAACTAAAATGAAACAATCTGGTGACCTAATTCAGATCATAAGAAACATGGAAAACAAGGTTATGGCCAGACTAGTTATCGAATCATTATCCACAAATATACCTGTCACATACCTAGTTGTTGCCTGAGTTAAACGGCGCTTCGATCGGTGTTTAAACTTAGTGGATCAGCAGTTGGACGCGATGTGTACTGTAGCTTTAATAGAATATTGAATTTGTGTTACTATTTTATTATTTTACATTATTTTCTCTTAACATATTAGGCATATTAACAAACACAAGTTTTAACGTCATACACAGGTTGTCGTAAAAAATTCGCAATTCTTGTTGAAATAACCTCAAATTTTGACAGAATGTATAGAAACAGACCAAGATTTTATATTTAACGGAAAAGGACAGTACGTGCTTATCTCACCTTATCGCCAGAGAGATGGTTCGGGCGTTGTGGAGATGAAGATAATTTTCTGATGAAATGGCCGCCACAGTCACTGGACATGTCCCCGTGAGATTCTTTTTATGGGGATATGTGACGGGACTGGTCTATATCCCGCCTCTTCCTGCTAGCATTAATGAACTCAAGCAGAGAATCACTTCCGCATTGGATAATGTTACCGGAGACATGCTACAACGTGTCTGGCAAATGCTTAACTACCTACTTGACTTGTGCCGTGTCACAGGCGGTTCACATATTGAACATTTATAAAAACGATTCCATGATAAACTAATGATGTTCAACACCTAAAATGTTGAATTTCATTGAGCTAGGCTTAGTAGTTTTCAAGATAATTGCTTTTAAAATGATATCAGTTTTTTTTTTTTTTGTTTTTTTTTTTGACACCCTGTATTGTGGCAGTCGGTTGTGGATGTACGGTAAGTAGTGTACCTTAATTGTCAGGAGTAATGTCCCCCTTGTTTACAACACGTTTTTTTTTTGTTTTTTTTTTTGTTTTGTTTTTTATCTTATACCTACGATATAAGCCACCCCTCTAATTTTGGATTTTTTTTTAGGCTTGAAATCTCTCTTTTTGTACGCCACAATTTACGGTAATATCTTTCTAATTACTTTCTTTCAGGAGAATCGAAAACTTCGCTGAATGCAGCTCAGAAACGAATTGTAGATTGGAAATTTACTCAATTAGACAAGGACAAAGATCATATTCTCAAATCCCGCGAGGTCCGGTCGCTGAAGCGGTTGGTCAAGAAGCTGGTCAAGCCACGCCGTTGCGCCAAAAGTTTTATTGAGTATTGTGACACTGATCAAGACAAGAAAATTATAAGTAAAGAGTGGTCACTGTGCCTGGGATTAAATTTAAGTAGTAAGTAATTTATTGAACTCTGGTCATTTCTTTCTTTTTTTTTTTTTTTTTTATATATATATATTTATTTTGAGTTTCTTATTACCAAATTCTAAAAGCGAAAAATAACATAAATATCTTTTTCTAATTAGTAGCGTATTGCAAAGGATTTACAGAAATGGTAGAATTGATCGAGAATAGAAAAGAACCCAATCCAAATTTCGATCAACATATATATATATATATATATATATATATATATATATATATATGCACATTTCATTGAATTCGACAGAGAAGGTGCTTTGATTTAGTTTATTTATACAATTTCTTATATGATATAATACTTTTTTTTTTTTTTTTTTTTTTTTTTCGGATATTAAATTATATAAAAATTGTCTAATTGTTATTTTATCCGCGCGCTTTCGGCTACACATTTAGCCATTTTCAAGGTTGTAATTTATTAACTGTTAACAAGAAATAGATTTTTGTATGTATTTTTATAAAGTTTTCATTTTCAAAACATGGTCAAGGTATTGTATCCATATTTATACTTGATATTATTAACCCGTGTTTGTTTTTTTTCATTTGTAAGGCTTCCATTATTTTTAACCCTTTTTTTTTTGCATGATATATTATTTTATTTGTGTTGTTAACAGTTATGTTACGAATAGGGAGCGGTACATGCGAAATAAAAGCTGAAAATAATGGAAGCCTTATGAATAAAAACAAAAAACAACATTCAATAATAATGAACAATAATAATAATGAACAGGGACACAATATCTTGAGCGTGTTTTGAAAACGAAAACATTATATAAATACATACAACAATTTATTTCTTACTAAGACTTAATATTCAACCTTGAAAATGGCCAAATGTATAGCCTAAAGCGCTCGGATAAAGCGAACAATTGGACAGTTTTTATATAATTTATGAGCCGAAAAAAAATTATTAGATCGCATGAGAAATTGTATAAGTACTCAATCAAAGCACCTTGTCTGTCGAATCTAATGAAAATGTGCATGAAAGAAGGATTGCTGCCTAAATACACATACACACACACACACACACATATATATATATATATATATATATATATATATATATATAATTTATGAAAAACTAGGTAATCCGTATGGCTAAACCTAAGCAGGATAAAATCCGGAGAGCTCAATGTAAATCCAGAGCAAATAATATAAATAAAAACAGACCACTTTAAGGTTCCATGTAATAAATTATTTCACCACAGCCCTTAAATAATTTATTACATGGAACCTTAAAGTGGTCTGTTTTATTTAAATTATATATATTCAATAAATCAACGGAAGTTCGGTTATATCTGGTCCTGATGAGCCGTCAATCGAAAGAAGTTAATTGAACTTTTGTTAATTTATTGAATAGTATTTCTCCAGTGATCTGTTGAGTACTTTTTTGTCAGATGACCCGCTGGCGTGAAAAAAAATGGTTAAATTCTTGTACTCTTGATGTATATTTAGTTGTATAAAGAAAGCCACAATTTAATCAAAAAACACATCTACCGAAAATGTATAAAGAAAGAAAATGATCGAGGGAGAGTGTGAGGAGACAAAAAAAGGTAAAATAACCACGACATTGCACACACGCACGCACGTATGATGACAACATTGCAACTAGAGCATAAATTAATTACATGAAGCTTAGGAGAAAAACGGCAGTCTATTGCTAAAATCCCCGGAAGAGTGGACTAAAATATTACGGAAAATTAGTTTACGAAAGTTAAAGTAGGGGAACATAAGGTCAGAATTAAAATTAAACTTGTGACTGTATTGACATCAAGACATACCAAATACAATTAGAGTATTGAAACATAAATGCTTTTGTGTAAGAATTTCAACATGTTTTTATTATGATCTTATATGTAATTTACATATAAGAGAAATTTAAAAAAATACCCCATATGTTTAGCTATTTCACCTCTCAAAAACTACCTTGCAGGATCTGTCAACACCAAGGGATTAGGAAAAAAAAACTTATTTACATACCGCTTGCTGTTGACAAATCCTGAAAGGTAGTTATTGTGGGGTCAAAATAGCTATTCATATGGGGGTATTTTTGAATTTCTCTTATGTGTAATTTATTTATGCTCTGTTATAATAAACACGTTGAACTCTCTTTGTGGATCAGTTTTAATATTTTATGTTATTAGGATTCACTTGGATTATTTACCTACATAAACACACACACACACACATATATATATATATATATATATATATATATATATATACACACACACACAGTGTAACCCGGATATAAGAGATATTTCTCTGGTCCCAAATTAGAGCCTGTGTTAATTTATATATAATAGACCAAACCCGGATATAAGAGACTTCTCCGGCCCCGACAACTCTCTTATATCCGGGTTACACTGTGTATATATCTCTCTCTCTCTATCTATCTATATATATATATATATATATTCATGAATTATTAACACAAAAACAAATGCAAAAGGTTAATGATTTAATTGGCGAGAAATCCATCGTCAAACAATTCAAATAATATACAAAAACCTCCGAATCCGTTATGAATGAAATGATCCTTGTTACTATAAATTTCTGCCATATTAGTTCTTATTTTTTACTACAAGCTTTCGTCTGTTCCTACAGACATCTTCAGGTATAGAATAGATGTTGTTCTTGTTTTTTCTCTTAGTAATAAGAGGACAACGAAAATATATGTATTGTTGTATCGGAAAATGCTATTGGAAAGCTTGTAGTAAAATAAGAACTAATATGGCAGAAATTTATAGAAACAAGGATCATTTCATTCATAACGGATTCGAGGTTTTGTATATTATTTTGAATTGGTTTGCGACGATGGATTTCTCGCCAATTAAATCATTAACCTTTGCATTTGTTTTTGTGTGAATAATTCATGAATTTGTAAATTGATTGCACGTTTATCGTAATATATATATATATATATGACCAAACATATTGTTCCGGCTATCCTAAAAAGTCCCAACACAAATCCGTTGATTTTATGATATTGTACGCGTTCTGATTGTTTTCTGTAAAAAAAAACAAATCATTTTAGTATTGATGGGAGTTTCCTTCCTAATCTTTTATGTAAGCATTTGTGGAAAGTGAATATTTTAGTAGAATCATTGTTTTTTTATTTTGTGCTACTCATTGGTAAAGCTTCGTGATTGTGTAGCGCCAGTCTGAATGATCTTGTGAAGGACTGTCTTCTTTAATGATTCATTTGTTTGAATTCATTTCTATGCATTATTATGATAAAGCGATTGCATATAAATTACATTTTAAGTAATACAGACAAGAAAACAAATTTTTACTACATGACGTAAAAATCGAAAACTTAAAAATAAATCAAATAAAAGTAAATGAATCCAAATAAAGTAAATAATTAACCTACCACTCCCTCCAAAATAACCGTTAGAATAGACTACCCACAATGCAATAGACTACACACAATGTATCACTGAACCGTATATATAAATAGTCGAGAAAAACATTACGCATGAGGCCTGAGGATAGCGTATAACATGACACAGTCTGTCGCCTCTGAGTGTTGATTTCAATATTCACTTTTATATTTACATACACTATATCTCTGATATTCAGCACATTATCCCATAAATATAGCATACCTTTATATATATATATATATATATATATATATATATAATGTTAGCATCTTGAATAAGTTCTCGCTGTTTTCCAACAGATGACGATTAGTTTCATATGATACGCATCTATAAAGAAGTACTATAAGCAATCTTGAAATTCAGTGTATGTCCTTTTTTTGATTTCATGCCAAAGAAAGTGTATTTGCGAGGAATTTTACTGCACTACTTTATTCAAAAGAAATGTGCAGCTGAAGCACACAAAATTCTTTTTGAGACTTACGGTGACCACGCTCTTTCGGAAACGTCTTGATGCGTCTTTGGTTTAGACGCATCAAATATAACGATTTTGATGTTGAAGATAAAGAACTCTCTGGCGCACCCAAAATATTTGAAGACAAAGAATTCGAGGCATTACTTCATAAAGACTCATGTCAGGCGCAAGGAGTTAATCACACAACAGTTTCGAAACGTTTGAAAGCAATCAAGACCTATATATATATATATATATATATATATATAATGTGTGTGTATATGTATTAAACAACACAATTTTACAATGGACATAGACATTGACATTTGTGTGTGTATCAGCATTTGTGTCTGTTTTTTGGTGAATGTTCGTACGTGTGTATAATGTTCATGGCGTCTCCCAGGAATGGGAAGAAGCGGATCTTCTAAAAGAGCTTACATTGTAGTGGTGTTCGCTGAAATGAAAAAAAAGAACGAGGCAAGAAATCGCCCAGTATTTATGGTGTAGAGAAGAGACTCCTAGTGAATAATTATGGAACTAGGGAAGAGCTAACCCCGACAAGTTTTTTTTTTTTAACTTAAGATACAGGAGATTTTTTTTAATTTAAAAAAAAAAATTTTTTTTAATTTATTATTTTCGTAATAAAATCATTTTTCATGGCCAGTGACTATCACAGACAAAAATGACTTTCAATGTCGATCAAAGATAGAAAGAAAATATTTGTTTTAGATAGTTCATATTTTTTTGATTTCTGTATTTATCCTGAATCTTTTGGAGGAAGTACTTCAACTTACTGCGAGCACAATCAATAAAACACCGTAAAACCTTGAAACATTTCCCTAACAGATGACCCCAGGAAGTTTTTCATCAACGTAAATTATACTTTTTTTTATTTTAACACTTTCGATTAGTTAAATAATAATCAATGTCCATTAAAAATACTCTTAAAAGAAATTCAGGAAAAGATAATCAATCATAAATTAAACTAAATATACTTTGCTTATCTCCCTTGTTTTCAGCTGGCCACAACCCAGGTCTTGACGGCATCGGTAAGCTTCAAAACGTGTATGCTTCTTATTTTTATAGATCTAACCATTCGCCTGTGCATTTTAATTAAAAAAGAACATTTCTCTCTGCTTTACTAACGTTAAATTGATTTTAGCCACATATTCAAGAACGCTTACTCAATCTTGCTCGTCTTCTATCTTTTAAAATCTAATCCTTCTATTAAATTAATATCACTGTTTTTTTCATGCACACATACGCATATATGTCACACCCAAATATATATATATATATATATATATATATAATATATATATATATTTTAAGAGATTAGGCGGAGAAAAATTTATCGGGTTTCCGTTTCTCAATACTTTTAAAATCTCCGCCTAAACTCTGGAATTTTTGCTATGTATTTATTCTTCCACAGCAGAAGTAAATGTTCACTTATCGTCTGGTTCATACATCTTCCTCGTCTTTTCAACAAGAGTAGAAGTTTATCCTTTCGTTTCCTGTTTCGGGTTGGATTTCCGGTTCCTTCCAAATTCTACTTCAACTCTTTATTCTAACGTCTCTGCCTAAACTTTGAAATTTATACGATTATTGGGTATCCAGTTGCTTTCTGTATCTTGCTTTGTGCTGTTTTTTTTTTATGTATAGTTTTATACGTTACAAATGGACAGATTTCAATACATTGAAATTATTAGTTTCTCTAAAGATACGGAAAATTGAATTATTATTATTAGTGGTAGTTTAGTACTTTACTCGTTTTTTTTTTACTCACAGTTCGCCATTCTACGACCGTTAAGTAATGCCAATTAGGAGAAAAGGTTTTCTCATACATTAAAAAAAAACGGAATAAGACGAAAGAAATGCTAGTAAAAATTATAATGATTATAAGGACTTTAAAAACAGATATTTTTAAAAGCTATATTTCAATATATACGAAGTCTAATCAAAAAGTGTTGGTACTGTTGCTATGGCAACAGATCTAAAGTAGGCAGCGTAAAGCTGCTTGGCATGGAAAGACCATGTGCATAGCCGCATATATACCCTAACTTATAACTTTCTCGCTCATTTCTGTTGTTTATAGCAGTACTAGGAAGGAAGGTATGTAGAGCGTGGTGTGTTGAGACGACTACATTCTACACTCAATCAGTAACCAGGGCTTGTGCAGCAGTTTCGGCCAAAAAACTACATTCTAAGTTCTCGCCTCTTTGGACTTTTTCTTCCTTCCAAAAATCAAATCCTACTTGAAAGGAACAAGATTTCAAATGCTCGATGAAATGTAAAAGAAAACTAAGAGGTAGCTGCTCGCTAGCACAAAAAGCAGTTCCTGTAATGGTTCTATCAATGGGAATGACGATGGATAAAATGCGTGGCTTTAGAAGTGGACTACTTCGAAGGAGATTAAATGCCGAATTGATAGATGTTGTAGTTTTCTTTTTATAGCACGACTCCCAATCTATTTTTATCAAACCTCATACATATATACATACATATATAAATATATATATTTTTACACACACACACACACATATATATATGTATATGTAAAAATATATAGAAAATAGGCAAGAACTCGTTAGGTAAATAATCCAAAGTTCTTTAATATATTTGTTATTATTTTTAAAAAAAAATAGTGCTCGATACAAAAGTAGAGCATAAATATAATTATTTATTTAAAATCATATTTAATTAAATCATATTTTTAAATAAATAATTATATAAAATTAAAAACGTCGAGGTCCTTCTTAGTTAAGCCAGCCTCTACGTCGTTGTGGGTCTTAGGGTGTTAGTCGAGTTCAGCTACCGCCATGGATGACCCTACAGGAGTTGAACCACCAGAATTTTTTGCTTTTGGGATCACTGGGACACGTAGTCCCTCTACTAGGACAAGGAACGACTGTATATATTTTACGTTGGATGTCGGAGTGAACAGTTCGTTATAAAATCTAGCATTTTGACTTAATATTTTAATGACGATAATAGAAATGAATCAATGAATAAAATAGGAATAAAAATAAAAATTATAATTAAATATATTTTTTATTATTGTTGTTGCTAAAAATGTTTGAAAAAGCACTAATAGTGGAAGAATTTAACTATTCTGATCTGAACCAATATTAAAAAAACAGACTCGAAACGCATTTCTTACTAATCTGAAAATTTTTTACGATACTACAATCAATAAAGAAGAAAAGAAGAAAATTATGAGAAAAAAGTTAAAAATGTTTGAATGATAAATGATTGGGAAATAAATCGACGATACTGAACCAATAGTCAAAGATAAACAAAACAAACACATCGACTCAAAATGCTTTTCCCATAATCTCGAGAATTACGTCCTCTTGGCCGTTGAGATGGTATAGATATTTGCCTAATAAAAACGAATGAAAAAAAAAAAAAAAAGACAAAAAAAAGTAAAAATTTTGCATTAAATATATGAAAATATCATTTATTATTGTTGCTGCTAAATATATATATATATATATATATATATATATATATTTGAGAGATGAATAATAAAGGAAAAAAATCACTACTGGACCCATAATTAAAAACAATAGTAAACAAAATAAGGTTACGACTCTTAACACTTTTCCTGTTAGTGTGAAAATACGTTCCTCGTTCATAAAAAAATGTTATGTTACTACAGTCAATAATTTCATTTCAGACCAGTACGGTCTTCAGTTGAAATTTATAAAATGTTTCTCTTAAAACAGGTTTTTTTTTGTTTTTGTCTTTTTTAGTAAAAATACGTTCCTCAAGTCCAGTAGCTGTTATCGACCTTTCCACTATTAACGAGGCTCTCCTTCCGAATAGTCTATTTTATGTGGGGTTGAATATTAACATCTTGATTATTTCATTATGTTCTCTCCGAGTTTCAAGTGCTATCCATTTTAGTTGTTGCTGCTGTTGGTAGTCCTAAAATGATGTGGTTTCTGTTGTTTAGTACAGGTCTTTATTTTTTTTATCCTGTTGCGACAGTCACAATGGTCAAAGAGGGAGGATCTTTGCCGAGAGCCTCAGGTTTTGCAAGCTCAAAAGCGTTTTTTCGCCATTGATCTTAGAAAGCAGTTGTATAGATCGTACAGTTTAGAGATTTCTGAGCTGGTTTGGTGTCATACATGACATCCATATGAAAGTCTCACTCTGACAAGGCGATTTAAGAACATGACTCAATTTTTCCGGTTCATCTTTTGCTTTCGTAGTGTTGGACGAAACTATCTCTTGTACTATATTGTTATATATTAGTTACAGTGTCTGGGAGGGAGAGAGAGAGAGCATAAACTGGCCTGATTAACAGTTTAAACAAGACCAATTTACTCGCCCCTCGGTCACGATGACTTGAGACATCGATCAAGCACAACTGTCCCTGGTTTCCGAAGTGTTCCGTGTACCCAATTTCACTGAAAAATCTAGGGTCAACCTGTGGTCTGTTTTTTAGGCACTTTCAAACGATTCCCCCACCCTCGAGATCCCCCCCCACCAGACTGTCATTATAAATAAGTTACCCCCCTAACAAATCACAGTGAGATTCATAGACGGGACTGTACAGATGCTGTTGATGGTGGCGCTCCTGTGATGTCAAAGGTCATTTATGTGAGAAAACGGTCGTATACAGCTGACAGTGTAGAAATTAATGAACTTGCTTTCTCGAGTACTGTGGCTGTTATCGCTCTTTACAGTATTGATGGGGGTTTCCTTCCTAACTTTTTATTTGATGTGGCGTGGAATCTTAACATCTTATGTCATTTTTTTTCTTTTCCAGTTACATGTGCTATCCATTTTAGTTGTTACTGCTGTTGGTAGTCCTCAATTGATGTGTTTTCTGTTATTGTTTGTTTGTGATTCTGTAGCGCTTGTCTACAATGTTCAAAGAGGGATGACCTTTGCTGAAATCCACAGGCTTTACACGCTCAAAAGCGTTTATTCACCAATAATCTTAAAAAGCGGTTGTATACATTTCCCAGTTTAGATATTTCTGAACTGGTTTGGCGTCATACATGGGAACCATATGAAAGTCTCGATCTAACTAGGCTATTTAAAGAACATGACTCAATTTTTCCGGTTGATGTTTTGGTTCTTAGCAATTTACGTTGTTGGGTGAAATGGCCTATTCAATATTCAATTTCTTTTTCTCCTCTACTTAATTTATTGTAGCTGATTCAGCTGAGGTATCTGAAGTGTTTAGTATTTACTAATTCCACATCCTGTATTGTTACGTGGGATAGCAGGTCAACCAATACAGGAGAAGAATAACCCTGGCTAAAGAACTGCGGAGAAGGCATTAAAAATCCCTTCTAAATTAGCTGACCATGATTCAGCCTTGCATATATTTCAATGTGGCCCTCGTCCTGATGACCTTTCGAAAACTCGACGGTGTTTGTTCCGAAGGTGGTTATTGAATAATATGCGTTCTTCACTATCGCTCTCCGAAAGGCGCCCTCCCCAGGTCTGCTTCGAAGCTGATAAGACGTAATGAATGGGATTTAAACGGGCTTGAGGCTGTTTCTCTTTCGGTTCGCTTCATACTAGATAAGTAATCCAATGCTTGCGGTGAAATATGATTCTTTGGTCGTATCTTGACAACTAAAGGTATTTATTAGACTAAGAGATAGGAATTCGATTTCTGGCCGGGGAAAAGCACATCAATTTTCGTCTTTTTATGTTCCATGATCACAGATATGCAAGTTTGGTTGAAGACTAAGGAAAATTCGTTAAGAGGATATTTTTTTGATTTTGTTGTTGTTACAGTTTAGAGATAGTTTTCTGTTTTGAACAATTTAGCTTAGTGAGATAGCTTTTAAATCATTTTAAAAAATTGTCTGAGTCGATAGTTTTTGTGTGTATTTACATAGTGATTGTGCGTGCGCGTGTGTGTGTATTTAGTGACTGTGTTCGCTTATTTAGAAATTTGATTCTGTGTGTGTGTATTTACATAAATTCTGTGTGTGTTATTTTAAAAGTGATTCTGTCTGTGTGTGTGTATTTAAGTGATTCTGTGTGTGTGAGAGTGATTCTGTGTGTGTGTATTTAGAGTGATTCTGTGTGTGTGTATTTAGAGGTGATTCTGTGTGTGTATTTGTGATTCTGTGTGTGTGGAGAGTG